GAGAATGTGCCGCGCCTGCTGTGCCTGGACGACCGCCGTGCACAGCGGCCGCGGTGAGAAACCATTCCCTGCGCACCCCCTGTGGCGTCGAGAAAGTGCCACGCCTTCTGTGACTGGACGACCGTCGTGCATAGCGGCCGCGGTGGGAGACCACCCTGTGGTGTCGGGAAAGTGCCACGCCTGCTGTGCCTGGACGACAGTCGTGCATAGCGGCCGCGGTGAGAGACCACCCCCTGCACACCCCCTGTGGTGTCGAGAAAGTGCCACGCCTGCTGTTCCTGGACGACCGTCGTGCATAGCGGCCGCGGTGGGAGACCACCCCCTGCGGCCGCGGTGAGATGAGAGAACCACCCCATGCGCACCCCCTGTTGGGTAGAGAAATGTGCCACGCCTGCTGTGCCTGGACGACCGTCGTGCATAGCTGCCGCGGTGGGAGACCACCCCCTGCGCACCCCCTGTGGTGTCGAGAATGTGCCACGCTTGCTGTGCCTGGACGACCGCCGTGCATAGCGGCCGCGGTGAGAGACCACCCCCTGCGCACCCCCTGTGGTGTCGAGAAAGTGCCACGCCTGCTGTGCCTGGACGACCGTCGTGCATACGGCCGCGGTGAGAGACCACCCCGTGCGCACCCCTTGTGGTGTCGAGAACGTGCCACGCCTCCTGTGCCTGGACGACCGTCGTGCGTAGCGGCGCGGTGAGAGACCACCCCCTGCGCACCCCCTGTGGTGTCGAGAATGTGCCACGCCTGGTGTGCCTGGACGACCGTCGTGCATAGCGGCCGCGGTGAGAGACCACCCCCTGTGCACCCCCTGTGGTGTCGAGAAAGTGCCACGCCTGTTGTGCCTGGGCGACCCTGGGACGCATAGGGAGGCCACCCCCTGCGCACCCCCTCCGGTGTCGAGAAAATGCCACGCCTGCTATGCCCGGACGACCCTGGCACGCATAGGGAAACCACCCCCTGCGCACCCCCTCCGGTGTCGAGAAAGTGCCACGCCTGCTATGCCTGGACGACCCTGGCACGCATAGGGAGACCACCCCCTGCGCACCCCCTGCGGTGTCGAGAATGTGCCACGCCTGCTATGCCTGGACGACCCTGGCACGCATAGGGGGACCCCCCCCTGTGTCGAGAAAGTGCCACGCCTGCTATGCCTGGACGACCCTGGCACGCATAGGGAAACCACCCCCTGCGCACCCCCTCTCGTGCGGCGCGGCAAGGAAGAAAACCAAAACCCCACGGAGTGAGGTGAGTGTCGCGGGTGCGGCGCGGCAGGGAAGAAAAACAAAACCCCACGAAGCATGTGGGGAATTTTTTTGCTATCGGAGTTCCCCACATAAAGATGCTACGGGGTTGCATTGCTTCTTGTCTGCGCTCTGGTGGGGCCTCCCTGGAGGGGTGGGAGGGGCACGAAACCTGATTAATAATATGGTGTGCGAATACCCTGCCCGCTCTGGTGGGGCCTCCCTGGAGGGGTGGGAGGGGCACGAAACCTGATAAATAATATAGTATACGGATACCCTGCCCGCTCTGGTGGGGCCTCCCTGGAGGGGTGGGAGGGGCACGACCCCTGATGAATAACATGGTGTGCGACTACCGTGCCCGCTCTGGTGGGGCCTCCGTGGAGGGGCGGGAACGGCACGAAACCTAATAATAAAATATGGCGTGCGAATACCCTGCCCGCTCTGGCGGGGCCTCCCTGGACTGGCGGGAGGGGCACGAAACCTGATAAATAATATGGTGTGCGAACACCCTGCCCGCTCTGGTGGGGCCTCCCTGGAGGGGTGGGAGGGGCACGAAACCTGATAAATCATATGGTGTGCGAACACCCTGCTCGCTCAGGCGGGGCCACCCTGGAGGGGTGGGATGGGCAGGATACCTGATAAATAACATGGTGTGCGAACGCCCTTCCCGCTCTGGTGGGGCCTCCCTGGAGGGGTGGGAGGGGCACGAAAACTGATAAATAGCATCGTGTGCGAATACCCTGCTCGCTCAGGCGGGGCCTCCCTGGAGGGATGGGTGGGGCAGGAAACCTGATAAATATCATGGTGTGCGAATACCCTGTTCGCTCAGGCGGGGCCTCCCTGGAGGGGTGGGAGAAGCAGGAAACCTGATAAATAACATGCTGTGCGAATACCCTGCTCGCTCAGGCGGGGCCTCCCTAGAGAGGTGGGAGGGGCACGAAACCTGATAAATAATATGGTGTGCCAATACCCTGCTCGCCTCAGGCGGGGCCTCCCTGGAGGGGTGGGGGTGGGGGGTGGGGGTGGGGTGGGTGGGGGGGTGGGGGGGGGGTGGGGGGGGGGGGGGGGGGGCACGAAACCTGATAAATAACATGGTGTGCGAATACCCTGCTCGCTCAGGCGGGGCCCCTCTGGAGGGGTGGGAGGGGCACGAAACCTGATAAATAACATGGTGTGCGAATACCCTGCCCGCTCAGGCGGGTCCTCCCTGGAGGGGTGGGAGGGGCACGAAACCGGATAAATAACCTGATGTGCGAATTCCCTGCTCGCTCAGGCGGGGCCCCCCTGGAGGGGTGGGAGGGGCGCGAAACCTGATAAATAACATGGCGTGCGAATGCCCTGTTCGCTCAGGCGGGGCCTCCCTGGAGGGGTGGGAGGGGCGCGAAACCTGATAATTACGTTACCGAGGAACCCCACATACGGAGTTTTAATCTTATGCGTTTGCTTGTCATTATCATCTATGCGCAATGCTGCGTTCTAAACCCTCGTCGCGAATCGTCGTCGTACTTGTCGTACTCGTTGTCGTACTCGTCGTACTCGTCGTCGTACTCGTCGCCGCTCTATCGTCTTACTCGTCATCGCACTCGTCGTCGCACCTCGCCGTCGTACTCGTCTTCGCATTCGTCGTCGTGCTCGCCGCACTCGTCGTCGCACTCGTCGTCATCGCACTCGACGTCGTCGTACTCGTTGTGTTGGTAGTGCTCGCTGTGTTCGTCGCCGCACTCGTGGTCGTCGTCGTCGTCCCCCCCCCCCTCCTCCTCGTCCTCCTCCTCCTCGTCCCACCCCATCCTGTCAACTCCTCCGCGCTCCTCTCAATTCCTCCGCACTTCCCTCAACTCCTCCGCGCTCCTCTCAACTCATCTCCTCATATCCTTCTGCGCTCCTCCTTCTGCACTCCTCCGCGCTCCTCTCAACTCCTCCGCGCTCCTCTGAACACCCCCGCACTCCTCTCAAATCCTCCTCCTCACAACTCCTCCGCACTCCTCTCAACTCCTCCTCCTCGCAACTCCTGCACGGCCGCGCACGGCGCGGCACGGCGCGGCGCCGACGAAAGGCATGGCACGGCAATGATTCCCGACGGCCCCCGGGCTTTGAGCGTGCCTCCAGACGCCGAAAGAAGCGAAAAACCTCCTCGAACCTCGAAGTGCGTCGCCGTCGTCGTCGTCGTCGCCGCCAGACATGGTCAGACCTCCGGCGGCGCAGTGCCCCCTCGGGCCCCGGATGGGGCGGGCGCGGCAGGGGGCGGGGGCGGGGGCCGGAAGGACCGGCCAGAGCTCCTGCGGACCGACGACAACGACCTTTCTCGCCCTGCCTTCCGCCACCATTTCTTGTCCTCTATTCTTCTTCTCCATTTTCTTCTATACTGCTCCTGGGAGGGCCCATAGGGAAGGGAAGGAGGGGAGGGAGGGGGGGAGGGAGGGACTCCTGCTGCTGCCCCGGCTCCCGCCCCCTTTCCTGCGATGGCAGCTCTCTGGTCTCGCGCCCTTCGATGGAAAATCTCTGGGCGACAGCGCATTCTATAAACCCTAAAGACCTTCGGTGGAAAATCTCTGGTCTTTGGATGCGGACGACGCTCTGTGGCGATCAGAGGCAGACGCGCCTAGACGGGCACGATGCCAAATCCATGTGGGGAAGCAGCGCGCGTGGCATGCTGCAGCGAACCGCACTCCGGGAAACCGCGCTATCTTGGCAGCCATGCTTTCCACAATATGCCCCAGACGCTGTGCCACAGATCCTGAAAGTTTTGCTGCTTAGTATATGCCTTTGGAGGAGGCAAATTGCCGCCTCCAAACAGCCAGGGTGCTGACTCCAATTTACTTGATAAAAGCCAGGCCTGACGGCATTTCGCCAGCCAGCGTTTGAGAGGTCTCGGGCAGCCGTGCCAGGAGGCCACGAGCCCCAATCGAGCCACATGTCTCAGCAATATTCTCGCAGGGCGCTGGCCTAGGGTCCGCAGCCGAGCAGAGTTGGCTCGTCGGGCTTCGTAGACCACCGAATTCGCTTCGCGACCGTCGTCACTCACTCTCTTCCTTGTCCCTCCCCCCCGCCGAGAGCCAGGGTGCTGACTCCAGCTTGCTTGATGCAGGTCAGGCATGGCGGCACTCTGGAAAACGCAGCGCCTGCAGCTCCGCCGAAAAAGGGTTGAAGGCAAGCGACATACAGGCGCGGGAGGATGCACATAGCCCACGTGCAATGCAGCCAGGCGCACGCCAGCCGCGAGCTGGGCATGCACGCGCCAAGTCGTCCGTGCTGGGCGCGGCAGAGGGTGCACGATGCCGCTTGGAGGGTTCAGATCCCTCTCCTCCTCCTCCTCCTCCTCCTCCTCCTCCTCCTCCTCCTCCTCCTCCTCCTCCTCCTCCTCCTGTTCCTCCTCAATGACGTCCCGAGCGGTACTTGCGCTGGAGAAAGCTGTTCCCCACCTAGCTACGGCCCCGCTCGGCAGAGGGGGGCCGCCCTGCGCTCCCCGTCGGCGGCCGCCCTCCTGCCGGCGTGCACGTGGCCGCTGCGCGCTGCGCGCCGCAGTTTAATCTCTCGGGGAACGGAGAATGGCATAAGCATAAAAACGCGGAGGTCCGCGCGAATTTCTTTTCACGGGCGAAGAACGGTATGACATAAACGTTTTCGCTGTCGGGGGCGCATGGCTCTGGGCGGCTGGAAAGTTCATGCCCTTACGGTGGCACCGTAGGGGCATGAACTTCCCAGCCGCCCAGAGCCAGGCGCCCCCGACCGCGAAACAGTTTATTTTATAACGTTCTTCGTTCGCTGATTCTTTGACTCGAAAAATCCGCGCGGACCTCCGAGTTTTCATGCTTATGTCATTGCTCGCTCCCCCCTCACCTTCGGAGGCTTCTTCACCTTGGCGCGCTGCTCCTGGCCGCGGCCGTCGCCGATCATGCCGCGCACGAGCTCCAGCAGGGCGCCGGACCCCTGGCCCCGCTCGCCGCTCTTCTGGAACCCGGGGGCCGACGAACAGGAGCCCGACTCCTCGCAGGTGAACGGCTGGCCGTCGATAAATACCCACGGCATGCTCGGCGGCTCGGTGAACTTCGCGCCGGTGAGGCGGTGCATGGCCGCGACGACGCTGTCGGCGTAGTCCGTGCTGTACATAATGTCGAACGCCTCGCGGCCCTCGAAGCACGCCTGCAGCCCGTCCTCGCCAGACCACGGGATGCCGGCCTGCTTGCTGCAGGTCTCGGTGGCATCCTCGTCGCGGCCGAGCAACACCATCGCCGTGAGCCCTAGGTCGCACTCCACGAAACCAGCGCCCCTCCGCAGCGCCTCGGAGCCCGCTGGGGCGGGCATCGGGAGCGCCTCCTTCAGGGCGCACAGCGGGGCCAGCGACAGCGAGCATGCGTCCGTGATCCCGCGGCTGTCGGAGCTCGACATGCCCTTCAGCAGCGGCAGCAGAGTTACCACCACCCCGCCCCCGGGCAGCCCGGCGTCGAGGAAGGGGAGCAGGCTGTTGTGGACGAAGTGGTAGCAGTGCGGGCACGTCGCCAGGAAGAACACCTCGACGGAGATCGGCGCGCCCTGCCGCTCCCGCAGCCCCCGCCCACGGGCGCTCGGGGCGGCGGCGGGCGCGTCGGCGCCGCGGGGCCTCGCCGCGACGGCCTCGCACTCGCGGGCCACGGCCTCGAGCTGCCACCCCTCGCCGCAGGCGCCCTCGAGGGCGCCGTGCCCGCCTCCGAGCGGAGCGGCGGCGCACAGGCAGAAGAGGCACCCGCGCCGCGTCCGCGGGGGCGGCAGCCGCATGCGTGGACCGCGCGGGCAGCCGCGGCAGCCGCGGTCGCCGCGGCGTGAAAGCGCGGTCCGCGCCGCCCCAAGGCGCAGGCGGCGGCGGGGCCCCCGTGGCTGGAGCCGAAGGGGCTGCGGAGGGCGTTCGGGAGGCATGCTGGGCCGTCTGGAGACCGTCCTGGGCCGCGAGCTCGGCGAGGAGAGGCCCCCCTGGGCCGTGCTGGGTACGTCTGGTGAGGGGCGTGTTCTTTCCACCACCACCACCATAATTAAGTTGGAGGGGGAGGGGGTCCTCCTCCTCCCCCCCCTCCTCCTCCTCCTCCCCCTCCTCTTCCTCCTCCGCCCCCCCGCCAATTTATGGTGGTGGTGGTGGAAGACAAGCCCATCGTCCGGAAGGCCTCCTTGGACGGCATCGGGCCCCCCAAGCGCCTGCACGTCCGCGCTTGTGGTCGAGGCTCTGGCCCGGGGGCCCCGGACCCGATGGCCGCTGCACGTGCAGGTGCAGGGAATCAGCCAGATGAACAACCCAGGCATGTTTCCAAATAGTGGTAACTGTATGCTTGACACATATACAATGCGCTCTTAACGCACGTGGTCAACGAGAGGACAGTTCGAGTGTCTATTGCCATGGCATCCACAAGCGAATCCTGCGGGCCCGCGCCGTGTTCACGCGGCGGCGACCCCAGCGCGGGCATTTAAGAGTGCCGCCTGGTGGCCGGGAACTGGCCGACATCGAGCGACCCTCGCCATCGAGCGGCCGCGGCCGTCCCAGACCCATTCGCAACCACCCTGTGGACAACATGATGGACCCACGAACCCGGAAAGGGATATAGACATGCGCAGCATGGTCACGTTTTCACGATACCCAACTGGGCGACATCTCACAAAACATCCCACGAGACACCCCGCGAAACATCCCACGAGACACCTCGCGAAACATTCCACGAGACACCTCACGAAACATTCCACGAGACACCCCATTCCACGCGGAAACATTCCACGAGACACCCCACGAACAGGCAACCACTCAACCAGACACGCCACGAAACATTCCACGGGGGTGCGACTGGGTGTGGTCGTGCTGGGGTGTGGTCGTGCTGGGGTGTGGTCGTGCTGGGGAGTGGTCGTGCTGGGGTGTGGTCGTGCTGGGGGGTGGTCGTGCTGGGGTGTGGTCGTGCTGGGGGGTGGTCGTGCTGGGGTGTGGTCGTGCTGGGGCGTGGTCGTGCTGGGGTGCGTGCTGTGGTGAGGTCGTGCTGGGGTGTGGTCGTGCTGGGGTGTGGTCTTGCTGGGGTGGGGTCGTGCTGGGGTGGGGTCCTGCTGGGGTGTGGTCGTGCGTGCTGGGGTGTGGTCGTGCTGGGGTGGGGTCGTGCTGGGGTGGGGTCGTGCTGGGGTGTGGTCGTTCTGGGGTGTGATCGTGCTGGGGTGTGGTCGTGCTAGGGTGGGGTCGTGCTGGGGTGGGGTCGTGCTGGGGTGTGGTCGTGCTGGGAGTGGTCGTGCTGGGGTGTGGTCGTGCTGGGGTGTGGTCGTGCTGGGGGGTGGTCGTGCTGGGGGGTGGTCGTGCTGGGAGGTGGTCCTCAGAATTCAGGTCCCCAGGAGAGGACAATCTATAACACAAAACAAGCGTTTCGCTCGAGACATCCTCACCATTTTCTGAAAAACAAGCGTTTCGCTCGAGACATCCTCAAATTTTAATTCGCCGGCCTCAAAAACAAGCGTTTCGCTCGAGACATCCTCAAATTTTAATTCTCGGGCTCGTTATTTATCAGGGAAAAATTCGCCGGCCTCCTTCGACCTCGTTATTTATCAGGGAAAAAATTCGCCGGCAATTCGCCGGCCTCCTTCAAGCAGGCACCGGGGGACTAGGTTTACCTACTAAAAGAGAACCCTGGGCCCAGGCCCTTTCCGGGAAAAACACAAAACAAACAAACATACAAACAGACAAACAAACAAGCAAACAAACAAACAAACAAAACGCGGCGTCGGACGCATGAGGAAGCAGCAGGTGTGAGAGAAGAGAACAAGAGAAAAACTCTGGATAGGAGCAGGGCTCGGCTGCGAAGAGATGCAAGGACGCAAGCTGCCTGACTCGCTCTTTGACGGAAAGCCTCCAGGCATTGCGAGGGGGTCACCGAGGGCCGTTTTCCGATGGGACAAGAAGCGAGGGGTTCACCGAGGGCCGTTTCGCAGACTGCGACGAGACGACTGAAGTCTCAAATCTCGGCGGACTTCCACTTTAGATCTGCCTCCCCCCACCCAGACAACCAAGGCGACCCTGGCGGCCGATCACGCAGAGCGAGAAGCTCGCGGAGGGCCGTCTGCAAGCATGGGCATGCAGCGATGGGGGCCCCAGGGAACCGTTCCCCGGAGGCCGAGGGCCGTTCCTGGGAGGGAAAGGGGCGACCACAGGACAAGAGTCGATGGGGGTCACCGAGGGCCGAGACTTGGCCTTTGACGGGAAGCCTCTGGGCCTTGTGAATTGCGAAACCTTTCAATGGAAAATCTCCAGGCTCGCACCAGATCGCTCGAGTGGAAGGTTTCTTGGAACGAAGCCCGAGAGGATCGAGGTCAGAGATGGTCTGAGGCACAGGTATACGAGAGGACGTAGCGCCTCAGGCACTGACCGAGCTCCATCAGGTCGGCCTCACCGCTGCGAAGAATCTCCAGCCTGGCAGACGAAGACGCAACGAGCTCTCGACGCAACAGAGCCCCATGCACCTGGGGCAGGGGGAGGGGCGGAGGCTGTTCCCAAAACACATCGTCACCAAGCGACATGCGTCACTGGCTTGGTAAACGAACGCTGAATCGGAGAGCTCAGCGATAACCCAGGGCCGTTTCCCCAAACGCGGTGCGCTGTCTCATGGGGCTCTCAGCGCCAGAGCAACTGTGCGGAAAGACGCGCTTGTTTATATTGGAATGTCCCGAAGCCTCCAAGGCTTGCAGCTGATCAGAGCCTGCGCCGCGGCGCTGAGGTAACACGTATTCCCGAAGTTGGGCACGCACACGGACGGCAGGTAGAGGGTCGACAATTCGTCTGTAACGCAGGCAAAGAAATCGAATATGCTTTCCTTGGCGAACGAGAGCGAGGCCGCGTGGGCGGGGGGCATGTCTCTGAACTTCGTCCAGGCAGAGAGGACCTGTGTGATGCGCTTGATCCTGACAGGGTCCGGGCGCGGGTCCTCCTGGTCTGCTGGGTAGAGGAACTTCACCGCGTCCAGCCGCTCTGCCAGGGCAGCCTGCCGCGAGGGGCGCGCTGGGCCTTCCACGTCTCGCAGAGAGTCGATGCAACGATGATCAGCAGCAGCTCGAAACGTCCAATGCCAGGGGGCGACGTCGCTCACCTCCCCGTAGAACTCGGCGCTAGCTACGCCGAGCATGTCAGGCTGCAATGCGAAAAGACGAAGGGTAGGTACATCCACTCTGTAGGATCCAGCGTTCGTGGAGCACCTGTAAAGCGCCTGCCACAAATCGGCATCGCCGCCCCTCCTCGACGGCAAGTACTCCGGATCAGAAGCTCGCTTGGCCGCGAAAGCCTTGTACCATTTCATTGTTTTCTTCCCCGCTTTCGTCGACAGATTCTCGAGCTGAACTGATTCTCGCAAGCCTTGCGACCAGGGTACTTCTGCCCAACGGCGGTCCGTCTGGGCCGGCTCAGGGGGCAGCTGAATGCGAGGTGTGCCTGTGGAGCGAACAGAGGTGGCAAGCAGAACTGCTGGGGGCCGCCGAGGAGTGAATGCCTGCATTGGCGTGCACTTGATAGGCGTGTCCTGCGCGGGCGTGGCAACGCCCCCGTTGCCGGCGCCGCCGACCCGCCGAACTTTCGCCAACGGCGAGCCATCGCCATCCTCCGCACCACCCCCCGGCTGATCAGCTGGGAACCCGCCGGGCATCGCAGTCAAGCGCTGCCTCCTGGCATCGTCGGCGCCTTTTTTTCGCGGCAACTCATTGTACCTGGTGAGGAGCGTGTCAGGCCACCAGTTTGCCAGCTGTCGGTGGTAAGCATCAAATGCACGGTGTGCCAATGCGTTCCCATGCCGGACAACATATATTCGCAAACCATCCAGGCTCACATCAACGCCCATTTCTTGCATTGATTGCTTGAGCTGCTCGCAAGGCGGTGGCGCGGCGGACATTGCGCATTTGGGCGCCATGACGGGGGCCGTACCTTTGACGGAGAGTCACCGGCGGCCGTCCGCGTTCACTATGAGCCCGCATGAGCCAGGGTGGCTACAATTCTTGGTGATGATGATGCTACAGCGTCGTCGTCGTCGTCGTCGTCCACTTGAGCGCCGATGGCGAACCCGCGCTCCCCTATCGAGAGAACGCGCTCGAGCGGCCGAAGCCGCTCTACCTTCACCTGGGTCCGCCGAGCGCGAGGTGCCAACCTCTCGGCCCCCCGAGGGCTAGAGCCTTCTTGGAGCGCCCCGTGCAGGATCTGGGATGGCGTCGTCGTCGTCGTCGCCGCCGCCTCCTCCTCTCCTCCTCCTCCTCATCGCCGTCCTCCTCATCATCGCCCCTCTCCTCCTCGTCCTCCTCGCCCTCCTCCTTTTCCTCCTCCTCCTCGTGCTCCTTCTGCTCCTGCGCATCCGTCCCCATCCTCTTCCCGCTTCTCCTCCTAAACTCCTTCCCTCCTCGTCCCCTTGGTCCTCCTGCTCCTGCTCATCCACCCCTCATCCTCATCATGCTCCTCTCTCAGGCACGAGACACCTAGGGCGGCCGAGCGCGGACAAGTCAGGTCGGCCGAACACGCAACACCTAGGGCGGTCGAACAAACCAGGTCGGTCGAGCACCGGACTCGTAAGGCGACCGAGCAAAGACAAGTCAGGTCGGTCCAGAACGGAACACCTAGGGCGGTTGAGCACGAGACACGTAAGGCGGCCGAGCACGAGACACCTATGGCGGGCGAGCACGGGACACCCAAAGCGGTCGAGCACGAGAGCGGAGCTGTCCAACGGTCGGACAAGTCAAGTCGGTCCAGCACGAGACACCTACGGCGGTCGAACAAGTCAGATCGATCCAGCACGCCACACCTAAGGCGGTCGAACAAGTCAGGTCGGTCGAGCACGAGACACCTAAGGCGGCCGAGCACGGACAAGCCAGGTCGGCCTCCTGGAGAGGAGGTAGAGGGCAAGGAGGA